AGCAGCAGCAGCCAGCTCCATTAGATGAGAATGAAGAAATGGGGAGGCAAAGTCAGCAGCGCAAATCACTTCAGAAGAGAACAAACGACTTAGCCAACAACAACCCTTACCCAAAGCGATCCAAGCCGAAGGTTGTCCAACCCACTCTTGATGGCGAAATAGCATTTGATGCACTGGTTGACTGTGAAGTTTGCAAAGCAAGACACTACGGGCTTCGAGTTCCCAAGAGAGCTCATCACGTCAAGTGTGTGAGAAACAAGCTTACCAAAGGCGCGGGCGAGATCCACGAACACACTGTTGCTTGTAGAGTTGAAGAGAAGCGGCTTGAGAAGCACTTCAGCCAACCTTTGGCTCAGCACGAGAAGTTCAGTGCTGCTCATCTAACAAAGGAGGCAGCAGCTGAATTTTTTGCTCCCAAGCAACAAGTGGCAAAAAGCAAATCAGCGACCTCCATCTTACCAACAACAAGAACTCGCTCAACTCGCACAATGGATTTTTGCAAAGCAGTTACAGAGGCAGTCAATGATGAAACTTTTGTGGAAAAGCACAAGTCCAAGGGGGCTCCATTGGCTATGCTCGCTTTTGCTGAGCAGATTACCCAGCATGTAATTCGCCCCAAAAAAGATGAATTGCACAAGCAATTTTTCCAAGGCATCACCACTGTTGTGCCAGAGTCGCCGTATTCTGCAGTTTCGCCTCACTATCATTCTATTGTGGGCCAAAAATTGCTTCTTGTTGACTGGCAGAAACTTGGCATTACAGTTCCCTGCCCCAATGCCCGATGCACTGGCCAACTGGCCAACCACGAACGAACCAACTTCTCCAAGAATAAGACGTTGTTCCCCATCTATTGTCTTCAGGGCAGCCCGTCCTGGTGCATTGTCCAGCCCATGAAGTGCAGTGTCTGTTCGAGAAGGTGGGACGCGAACGATGGTGAGATTTTGGTGGCAATTCCTGCGTATGCAGCAAGTCTTTATCCAGTAGAGCCGAAGTTTGCCCTGTCGAAGAAAAACGGGCATGTGTCCACTACGGCCTCCCAAGTCTTCAGCTCGATTATGCTAACCTACGCAAATGGTGAATTGTGCAGTAAGCTATTGTTCAATTCAATCAATCAGGACTATTTACAGCGAATTGCTTCCTACTACTCACTACTTCAACAACAGTCCGATGATCTTCCAAAGCAGCAATACATTGAAAAGGACGGTGTGTTCATTCGCCAATATCCTCCTCTTGGGGAAACTGTTCGAGATCTCTGGGATGAAGCTGCCGAATGCAAGAATAATCCGTGGGGCATAAGTGACAATGAGAGACACACCAGAGAGATCCAGGCCGTTCAATGCAAAGAGGGTATCTTCTGTCAAGACCACACCTTCCAGGTAGTCAAGAACTATCAAAAGAGTTTAGGCGCTGTTGCGGTCTGGGATTGTGCAACTTCAACCGGAGAGATAGCTTCAGCCGTACTGGTTCCTTCCACCAAAGCGATCCACTACTCTCATGCGGCGAAGCTTCTATCCAGGCGTCAAGCCTTCACTCCCAATGCTATGTACAGCGATACTTGGCCGAATGGCAATGAATACTGGAAGTCGCTGTTTCCAAACTTACAAGGAAGATTAGGCCTGTTCCACTTTGAAAAAAGAATTGTCAGCACCATGCGCAAAGGTCACATTGATTATGGGGATGCACTTACTTCGCTCTTGTATTGCCTGTACGTCTATGAAGACAGCGACTATGCCAAGCTGATGACTGCTCTGAAGACTGGAACCCTTTCCGCTTCTGGTCGCTGTTACACTTCCCAAGAAATCGGTGACATGCAGGATTCCAAAGTGTTCCGTGAGCGCTATGCAAAGTATTTGCGCAAGAAAATTCGGGAACCGGCAACCATGATCCAGCGACTTGATGTTTGGTTCTGCCGTTACAAGGTAACATCTTCTGACCCTCAAAACCGACCTGCAAGAGATCGTCTTGATCCTGTGAAGAAAGTCCCTTTGTTCTCCAGTGAGACGAAGAACGCCGTTGACAACTGCAAGCAAAAAGCCCATCATTTAGTTGATCCCATGCCCTTGGAAGAGATGTACGACAAAATTGCTCCATCACCCAATTCAAAACATGGCCTTACGGAATACTTGTCGAAGAGAGGAGAGTCCAAATTGGAGGCTTTCCATGATCGCTTTGCTCACTTCGGCAACAGTGGGATGAGAAGTCGGCTCTGTGACAGTCTCAACCTTTGTGGAACAGCAAGATACAACTTACAGATCAGATACAAGAGGTCTCTCATAGCAAGCAATCAAGAAGAAAGGAAGAGGATTCCAGCAGGTTGGGAAAAAGTGGTGCCGTATTGGAACCATTCTCAGCTGGCCTACATCAACAACATGGCAAAGGTTAATGGCATTCAACAAATCCCATTTCAAAAAGTGGAAGACTTACCCAAAGATAATGGCGAGCGATTCTTTGGTGCATTCATCAAATCAGTGAAGCCACACCGGCAGAAATACAGTGTGGTTGGCCATTGTCTCTGTGATATGTGCACCGGTGCACCACCAGCGAGTATTCCGCGGCCAGGACCATCGCCAACTGCACCGACCGATTTGAATTCAAATTCTGCTACCCAACAACCATCAACAGACAACCGCTCCCCTCTAAATGATCGCCAGCAGAACAGTCAACCGTCAGCAACGCCTCCATTAACAACAACTGCACCGGCCATGGCCACGGTACCTACCGCTACTACCACTACCGGAGTACCTATTGCAGCGCGAGTAACAACAACAGCAACAACAACAACGTTAATGACAACTGCGGTGCCGCAACAACAATTTTACTGGCAGTTTCCTGTCTTCCCTCTTGCTTACTACTTACCCCCTGCTCCTGCGAACGGATGCTGCGATCTATACCGAAATTGGTTGATGAATAGACGAGGACGTCCGCCGCATTCTCCGAATTGTGTGCACCGGTTGAATGGGTATGCAATGGATGGTTGATTTTTCGGGATGGCCGAGCGGTGGGATGGGAGGATTCAAATCAGGAGAGAATAATTGAAGTAGGGTTAAAGCCTAACGTATAGCATGATGACATTTTTAGTACCGAACAATAAGTAATCTCCCCTCACCTTGCCTTGGCCCCTCTTCTTCTAAGTCTGCGTGAGGTTGGATTTATGGAACAATGACCATGCGTCATCCATGCCCGCGATTGAATCAGGAATTGGGAATCTAACCCTACTCCTCCTCCTCTCCTCCTCCTCCTCCTCCCCCCCTCCCGAGTGCCTAACCCCCCTAAAAAACTCAGGAGGGGCCAAAAGCGGTGAAAGGCAGAAATCTGATTGGCTAGTCAAGCTAATATGTCAGCAAATACGTCAGCAAATATTCAAAATACTTAACGTACCATTTATAAGTATTTACGGGGCAAATGTGCTACCTTGTCACCATTTTTGTGTTTGGCCAAAACAGAAACAAGGATTCCCTCTGTCAAAGAAGGATTCCTCCGTCGACAATGACAATGCCACTGGACAGTCATGGAGCCACCAACAGCAGCAGCAACAGCACACCAACAGCACACCAACAGCAGCAGCAACAACACAAAATGAAGAAGACATGGGCTGCCAAAGTCAGAATAGGAATTCCCAGCAGTAGAGAGCATATCAAATGGCCAACAACAACAACAACAACAACAACAACAGATCGAAGAGAGCCAGAGAAGAAGGAGCCCAAACAACAATGCATGGAGAGGAAGCAGAAATCTTTGATCCATTGAAGAAGTGTAGAGTCTGTAGGGCGAGACACTTGGGCCTGCCAGTTCCAAAGAGAGCACACCACACTCGTTGCATCAAGAACACAAAGACCAGAGGACAAGGAGATTTGAATTCTCTTGAATAGGGGCAACATTGTTGTCGGAAAAAAACATAGCATCCGGCGTAGCCCGAAGGCGGCGACATTTTGGTTGATTGGTTGGTGGATTGGAGCCGGTGGTAGAGACAGTGACGGCGTTGGTTGGTGGTGACGTTGGTTGGTGTTGCTACTGGAAGGGTCGGTAGTGGTATCGGTAGTCGGTCGGTATCCGTAGAGGAAGGAGCGTCCGGGAAGGAGGAAGTAGTAGTTGTTGTTGTTGCCAAGAGTCTTGCCCCTACCCACGTAGGCGCTGACTTCAAGACAAAATAGCCCAGCAAGTTGTTGTTTTAGTAGTAGTAGTAGTTGTTGTTGTTGCAGAAGAAGTAGTAGCAGCGTTGTCATTTGTTGTTGTTGTGGAGAATGCGTCATGGTGGTGGAATAGAGGAGTAGCCGCTGTAAAGGAGGAGACAACACCATCTTGATAGAGTAACGATAGAGTAAATGTATCGAAATAATGAATATTTGACTACTAGCTAGCTAGTGTTCTTCTAGGAGGAGTTCCTTCGTTCTGATACGACCGAAGCGTTGGATCCCTCTCTACAGGAGGTGTTAGTTCCCTCTCTACAAGTGCGACAGGCGTCAATCGATCCGTACGTACCGGTATCAAGACTCACTCAACCCGACCGTCTCCGGTTCAGAGCAGAAAGCCATCCTCATTGAAATCACACCAGCTTGGGAAGGTTTTCTTTTCTTGGCCGCTGACAGTCAAGTTGGAGTGGGAGGGTTTGGTCGGAGCAAAGGATGGGAAAAGAGAGAGCTGTTGAACGGATTCAAATGCTGTTGTGACGTATTTGCTGACATATTCCTTGTTCTTCGGACGTCTTACCCATGGGGGAGATGTCTGTTTTATATAGGAGACGTAGGGGTCATTGCCTTCTCCCCTACTTTCTTTAAGTACTACTGTTTGTTTGATCGTGGCAGTTATGACTGAATCATGCCTCAACGGCGGAATTGGGAATCCAACTAATAACCCTCTCCCTTTCTTTTTTCTTTTCCCTCCCCCGCGCTGCTGCCTAACCCCCCCATAAAGTCGTATCGACAACGACGACGAAGTGCAACCAACGGAACTCTTTGAATTCTCGTTGAAGTGTCGCGTCAGTATCTTCCCTTAGTCGAATGAGTCAAGTCCAGTCGAAGTGGGAACGGGTCACATTCTTCGCTTCCACCTCATTTATTTTTCCTCGTCATTTTCTTCCTTGCACAATGACATCACGTCGATGCCAACAACCAATCCAGCAGCTGGCCAATGGGCCCACTCAAACCTATCGGTGAATACAGTGTGTGAAGGGAGACCATAATTACTGTACTCAAGAACCAACTGGTATTTATTTGACAGTACGGTAGAAACGGCAACCATAGCATGTCTGCCCCAACATCCACAACTACAAGGCTCTCTTCCAAATTTCTGGTATCGGCTCTTCTTCTCTTGACTTTTCTGGTTGACACAGTCCATTCTGCCCAAGCCTCCAAGACCAAACCGGCTCTTATCGTTGGAATCAAGCCGCTCTTCAAGAGGGAAGACTCAAAAGCACTGGAATCCACAACAGCAACCACAACAGCAACACCACAACCTCCAACGAGACCGGAACTGGTCACACAATCCCTGGAGAAAAATGCCGACTTGTACTATTTTGGTCTGGGATCCAACATGCTACGACAAAAGTTGGAAAATAGAGCCATTGACGGATCCAAAATCAACGTGAAATCCTTTCAACCTGCCGTCGTATACAACTATAGATTGGCGTTCAACATGAAAGGGTTTCCACCACTGGAACCAGGAATGGGATCTCTAGAGCCTACTACTTCATGTATGGACGCTGAACAACAACTCCAACAACTGAATCAACCATCCACAAAACAACAAGACAATGCTCATAGTAGTATCAGCAAACCACTCTGTGCTTACCAGGAAAACGAGTGTCACGGAGCACTGGTACGACTCTCGGCAGAAGACTACGAAAAGGTCATGCGATCGGAAGGAGTCGGTCACGGACGATCGGATCAGGGATACGAAGAAGTGGTAGTCGATGCAGTACCCTACAAGGGACGAGTCGTTCAGGCCGTGGCATTGCGTGCCCGAAGTCATGTGCGCTTGTCACAAGATCCGGCGCCATCGCAACGCTACATGGACATTTTGAAACAAGGAGCCCAGGAATTGGGACTGGCCCCGGCGTATGTCGACTTTTTGAATCAACATCCCGTGCAACAATCCTCGGCATGGACCAGACGGATTGCCGTTTGCAACTTGGCATTGTACTCGTCGCAACTCGTATCCTTTCAATCCAAGCTTAGAAAGCTACAGGTGTGGCTGCTGTGGAGAGTCTATGTCCCGCCCACGGCCAATGTGCTACAGAGAATACTCAGTGAACTGGCCATTGGCATGATCCTGCTCCCTGGGGCCATTCCGGGAAGTTTGTGCTTTCTACACATGAAGCGTACCAACAAGATGAATGGCATGATGAAGGCGCTGGCAGATAATCACTGGTAAACGACAATCAAACATCACGTTGGTTTGAGGATCGATAGGTGCCCTTTGATGCAAGCTGCTGCATCTTGGTGATAAACGTCACTGCGAGTGGCCACAAAAGCAGACAGTTCTAGCCAGTAGATAGCACGGAGTGTGCAAATCTGTGCAAGCAATACAGACGACACAGGCAGCTCCAACGTCCACCTGATTCATGACCAGTAAAGGACTGTACGAAGCAGTAAAAAATAAAGGTGGATGCATCGATAGCTATTATTTGCACTCGTCATGCCACTCTAGCTAGCTAGCTAGCTGGCTGGCTGGTCTACTCTGCAACTCGGCCCTGTTCAGTGATAATGCCGAGTTCTCGCAGTCGCGCTGTGGAGAGATATCCCTCGTCACTGTCCGTCAACATCTCCTCCACTTTGCAAAGCACGGCACAGTGCCCCCCACAGTCAACAATTTCTCCCACGGCTGTCAGTTTCAAATAAAATGCGCAACCCGGTAGAACCATCGGACCACTGCCATCACCCGCAAGTTTTCCCCAAACAAAACCCAGTTTTTCACATTCGCTCTGCTTATCGACATTTTTCCCCGACGAACCACCCAACAGTTTGACCAAGGGAGCGTGTTGTTCCGTCAAGAGCTGTAGAACGCAGGATCGTGTTCGACAAAAGTTTTCGTACGAAAGTGTCTCTTTGTACAAACCCAAGGACCACACTCGTTCGGGTCGGATGCATACGGGTGTCGCGTACGTCAATATTTGCATATTGGTGGTCTTGCCATCATCGGCATTGCAGGTGGCCATGGAATACGTGGGGACGTCAAGGAGCGGAGGAGTGGTCGTGGAGGTGCCAATGGTGATCTGGGGAGGTTTGAGGGCGAAACTACTCAATGGCAGCCACAAAAACAGCAAACTGCTTAGTAATCTTGCAACAACAGCTGCTTGACGACGAGATGTAGGCGCTCTCATGGTCCAGTGTTTGATAATAGAGATTATACTTCGACCTGAACGAGCTCCCAAAGCCGATGAACAATTTGTAATTGGCATTGCCTCTTTTTCAACTCGAGTAGAGCTCGGGTTAGTCGTTGACCACAAATTTTGAAGACCGTTGACACGGCGTTTTTAGACTGAGGGGGGCAAAGAGGGGGGGGATTAGGTACTGCAGGAAAGAAAAGGCGAATGAGACAGCAGATGCCACTTTTCTCGCAGTGCTCCGACCAAGTCAAGTCATCATTGTTTGGGCAGTACCTGGTATTTGTTTGTGGATGCTTGTGAAGAAGATGAGACCAGAGTCAAGGAAAAATGGATGGAAGGTGGCCCTGTTTAGCTCCCTTTGCATGTTTGGCGGAGTCGTAATTTTTTTTCGAGGGGAGACAGATGTGACCAATCAACAAGGAGTGAGAGTTGCCGCTGTAACTTCTACCAAGCACGAGGACTGGAGAGGGGCGCCGATTGGGGACCGCGAAGATGACCCTGACTCGTATCATTCCTATGACCATCGACCTGCCGGAACCGATCCTCGTGATGTGCTCCTCAATGAATATACCATTCATCCTTGTCCCAACGGTGGGACGGGTAGCATGGTATCCGGCCAAGACCCGCGGTTGTTCGAACTGAAGAACGACCTGTACAAGGAGAGAAATCCCAAGTTTCTTTGCGACGCCGCCAGCATAACAACCAGTCTGCATCAGCCTTGTGTTGTCTACTCCTTCGGATCCTTTGATGAAATCAGTTTTGAGGTAAGGTGGGGCATCTTTTGCTCACAGTGTTTTTCCTTGGAATACCCGTGCTCACTTTTTACAAAATTGATCATTTGACACGACAACAATCAATCATCGCAAACGGTGGACATCAGATTGGCATTGATAATGTTACCAACAGCAAGTGTGACGTACACACATTTGACCCCGAAAAGAGGCCGAGCCCAGAAGTGGCTGGCAGGCATCACTTTACAAGTCATGACCTGGGGCTTTCGAGTTTTGAACACGACAATTTTAAACGATTAGGGACGATCATGAAAGATCTTGGGCACAAGCACATTCACGTTTTAAAAATCGACATTGAAGGCGGGGAGGGGGGTGCCTTGCCAGCCCTGCAAGTCGAAGGAGTGCTGAAGAATGTCGACCAAATCTCCATTGAATTTCACAGCGTCGAATTGATGAAGAAAGGGCTGGATATTCTCGTGGCCAGTGGTTTTGGAATTGTCTATGCACGAAGTAAGTACCAATGCATGCAGGATCGCTAGCTAGGAGTATTATTGCATTGTCCCGTGGTGGGGCTCACGGATCACACCTTGATCGCTTCTGCGATTTCTACAGGAGAAGACAGATGTGCATGGTGTATCGAGGTGACTCTGGTAAAGATGCCAGACAAAAGTACGAGCTTATAGAAGGATTTCTACTGGGAAATCCTCTTCGGTTTGCGGATGCGAAAGATGCTACCTATATCTGGCAGTTAGACGACAAACGATTCGACGAGGTTTTGAGTTTTGAGGCGTACCGATACGGACATAAAGAGCACTCAACAAGCAATTTATTTAATCTCCCTCGTTGTGTCGACATGCATGGGTGCAGCGACCAGCCAACGCTCAGCACGCTGCCTGGACACATTTGCTTGTACTACTTCGTGGTGTAGAAATCATAGCTATATCAATTGTATCTAAAGGAACAACAATGCAACGTTCTATTGGCAACCTTTTTGCAAGTTCCCTGGCTCGAGGTGGGGCATGTCCCGCATTTAAACACTTGGAATCTGCTGTCCTTGGCAGGCTGTGATGACGACAGTGTTGACAATGTCTTCCACGGTGCAGCCTCGGCTAAGATCGTTCACAGGCTTCTTGAGCCCCTGCAATACAGGTCCAATGGCAATGGCGCCCGTCTCTCGCTGCACGGCCTTGTACGTGTTGTTGCCAGTGTTCAAGTCTGGAAAGACAAACACTGTCGCCTGCCCGGCCACGGGACTGTTGGGCATTTTGGATGCTGCCACATCCTTGTCTACAGCGGCATCATACTGGATGGGTCCCTCAATGAGTAGATCGGGGCGTCGCTCTTTGGCAATACGGGTCGCCTCGCGGACCTTCTCGACTTCGTCGCCCTTACCGGAGTCGCCGCTGGAATACGACAGCATTGCCACCTTGGGTTCAATGCCAAAGGTTTGTGCCGTTTCTGCCGAAGCCAAAGCGATATCTGCCAGTTGTTCTGCCGATGGATTGGGGTTGACTGCACAGTCACCATACACGAGGACGTGATGATCCAGACACATCAAAAAGACGGACGACACAATCTTGAAACCAGGCTTCGTTTTGATAATTTGAAGGGCCGGGCGGATTGTATGTTGTGTGGTGTGTCGGGCTCCACTCACCATGCCATTGGCATCTCCACAATGGACCATCATGGTTCCAAAGCACGACAGGTCCAGGCATTCATCCCGCGCCGCATCAATATTGGGAACCGTCCCCTTGTGCTTTCGCAGTTCATAATACATGTTGGCGTACTTTTCCAGCGCTTCTCCCGACGACACTGGATCGACCACCTTTAATCGGTCCAGGTTCAAGTCAATTCCATATTGGGAGACATAATTGGAGATTTTTTCTTTGTTTCCCAACAAGGTAATGTTGACAATGTCACGTTCCACAAGAATGGCAGCTGCCTTGAGGATGCGTGGATCGGTTCCCTCAGGCATGACAATGTGCTGCTTTTTTGCCTTGGACTGTTCGACCAGCGAGTACATGAACATTTTGGGCGTAATGACCTTGTTGACTCGGTTGGTGGGACTTTGATTATTGGCGTCTGGAAGGATTTTGCGTTCAAATGCTTTCGTGTCCACCAAATGCTCCTCAAATGCCTGGATACTGAGACTAATCTTTTCTTGATCGGTGGAGCGCAATCGAGCATGGACCGCGTTGATTTGAGACGCTGCTTCAAAGGTTCCAGTTTGCACCGAAACAATGGGCAATCGTGCTGGCAGACCTTCAATCAATCGAAGAATGGAAGGCTCGGGCAAAACTCCTCCCGTCAAGATAATGCCAGCCAAACGAGGGTAGTTGCGTGATTGATGTGCCTGCAGGGCACCCACGACAATATCTCCTCGGTCGCCGGACGTGACCAATAGAGTGTCGTCTTCTTTGAGCCATTTGAGGGCATTTTGCAACTGCATGGCACAGACCAGGGAACATCGGACGAGACCATTCATGTAATTGTGTCCTGACAGGACATGTCCTTTGAGATGTTTGACAACATCACTCATCCGAGGACAACTGAGACGTTTGTCGGCGGGAATGACACAAAGAGAGTATCCATCCTCCTTGTAGAGCCGTTCCAGTTCGGCTTTGAGAGATTGTACGTTATCGGGATCCGCCTTGTTCAAGCAAATGCCCACTACATTGGCTTCGTAGGATCGATAGGAATCCACGGAAATGGAAATTTGTTGACATGCCTCGGCAATGGGCCGGTCATGTGCCGACCCCAAAATGACAATGGGACAGCCCAGATTTTTGGCAATGACTTGATTGAGGTTGAATTCGACGGCAGATCCCTTGCTCAGATAATCGGATCCCTCGCAGACGATGAAATCACACTTGGCCTCGAGTGCCTTGTACTTGCCAATAATGACATCCAACAAATCATCTTCTCGATTTTCTCCCAACAACTTGGCGGCTTGATCGGTGCTCATTCCAAAGGACTCGTCGTATGTTTGATTGAGACGGAAATGTCCCGTGATGAAATCAATATCTTCGTCGTGAACATCATTGTCCTCTTCTTCGGCCGAGTTGTAGAATTCGACATAATCGTTGGATTCGTGAGAGGCGGCTGTGCGGCTTTGAATAATGGGGCGAAAGAACCCCACTTTGGAGATGGAGCGCATCACAATGTCAATGACACCGAGCGATACCAACGCTTTTCCACTTCCTTGTTCTGTCGATGTAATGTACAGGGATCCTCCCTTGCAGGGACTGGTGTTTCTGTTGTCCAACAAATGAAAACAAAGAGGAAGCACACGGTCAGACACACAAAAATGAAGGTATGAGGGGATCTGCGCAATCGCTTCGGTTGTTCGCACTTACTGACTTTCGCTCATTTTGATGTCGCTGTCTCTTGGAATGGAATCAATCAAATTGCCTGGGTCAAAGTAAGGTTGTTGTGTGGTGCTCTGCTTGGGATATATGGCTATTCTTTGTGTGCTTTGGTCTGTGTGGGTTGTCCAATTGTGATGCCTTCGGCCTCTCAGATCGATTGGCGGAGGTATCTTTCCAAAACTCCGAGCTCCGAGGTACGGTTCCCATTTTCTGAGTTCGCTTTCTTTGGGTCGGTTGAGTCGAATGATTGGATCTTCGGGAACTTCAGTCACAGGATCAGAGAGGAACCCAGCGGTGCACCAGTTTCAACAGTGCTTCCAACATCACAGTACTACTAGTAGTAGTCTACTCGTACTGTACCGGTACAGCATACTAGTAGGAGGTGTTGAGGATCAAATCATTGGAACTACTAGTACTCTACTCGCACTAGCTATGATACCGTACCGGTAGCTTGCTAGGTAGGGAAATCCAGGATAGGGCCCAGCTTAGTACCAGGTAGAGAGAGACACAGAAGAGAGAATTCAAGAGGGGGCTGGCTGCAGGGATTGGAGGGATCACTGGAGGTTGAAGAGGGATCATGGAAATCACAAGGAAATCGTTGGGGACCATCAATACAGAGATGATGGATTCCACTCGATCAATTAACTGATCTCCAATCCTTGATAGTGAAGTACACGCAAGTATCCTTCGAGAGCATGATGAGGGATGAGTTGCAGGCAGCGGGTTGGCCCTGCCCTGCTGAGACTCGAAGAGAGAGAGATAAAAACATCCAACGGTCCTAATTATTTCACAAACTGACTGTTTTATTTCTTTCCTGCTACTCAATTGGTGGATCTTGTCAGTCAAGCTGCTTCCTTCTACTTTTCCGCGTCACTCCCATTCTGTGCTGGCTGATATGGCCCTTTCACTTTGATTGCCAGGCTGTTCCGCTATCTATCATCATCAACAGCGACAAGTACTATAATAGTAGACTAATCCGGGAAATAGATTTGACTTTCGTCGTATTACAGCATTGTCTACCTTGTCCAACGTGGTGGCTATCTGCTTTGCTACCGTGTCGATCGAGCGATTGGCTTCCTTTTGTTGGACTCATTTGAATTCCGAAGCTCCCTGCATATCGGTAACCGTAACGAGAAAGTTTGAAGAACCAAACAGAATCCAATCCCACAATCTCTGGAAAAAGACGTGAAGACAGAAACTTCTACTACAGATATGACCATGACAACTCCAAGTGCACCTCGTCGGAGTGAACGATTACGAAGAATGCCGGGATGGACGACTTGTGGCGGCTTGGCATTGCTTCTACTGGCGAGCAGCCATCCAAGTGCAGATGCCTTTGCCATGCCCAAATTACGCAGCCGCGGTTGTCCTTCGACCGTCTCGCGGGTGTTTGTGACGGAAGAACGAACGCAGCTGGAATTTGGACAGGAGAGGAGAGACGAGCGGGATGATGAGAATACCAATGGAGGCAATAAGAAGAATGGTCAACAAGTCAATAATAACATCAACAACAATGGCCAAGCGCTGAATAATGGGAAACGACCACCTGCGGGATCTCCATTGAGTATGATTTGTGAAGATGCGAAGGAAGAGGAAGACTCCTTTGAGATTCATGTGGGAAGGGCTTTGGATACCCTTCGCAGCGATTACCCAAATATGTTAGTCGAACAACCAGGTGAGTGAACGATGCATGCAGCCAACCAGCCAACCATGGGTATCTGGGGAAAAGTGCACTTTTTTGACATGGATTATCTCACAAGAAAGACTGGCTATTTGACTATGTACACGTATTACCAGACCTTGCAATCTACGACAAGGAACTGGAAGTGATTGACCCCTCGGGTGTCAAACTGCATGGAATCAAAAACTACAAGAACGCATTTCGTCTCATGCATGCCATTGTGCAAGTCTTTTACTGTCCCGAACGAAGTGGACTGCAATACCGCATGTGCTACGATACGGCACGACAAAACATTCGAGTCAGCTGGAATGCGCACGTTATCCCCAAGGCACTCTTTGGTGGTGTTCGAACCACGCTGCATGTCGATGGCATTTCCGTATACGAAATATCCCAAAAGTCGGGAATGATTACGCAACATCGCATCGAACGACTCGTCATCAATGATACCCCCGTCCAGCCCCAACAGGGCATCTTTGCCCTGCTGCGCAATGAACATGATGAATCCGTGCCCGTATTCAACAGTGCCAACACACAGGTGTTGGAATTCCGTGAGGGTCCTTCTCTATTGTTTACGAGTACTAGCAACAGCAACAACAACGAGGGAGGAGAGACAACAGCAACAACAACCACCACTGCACTCGATGCCGTCTCGGCGGGAGGTGACAACGAAAACAACAGCAACAAAGATGACTATCCCGGTATGGACTGGGAAGCCTATGAAAGGAAGAATGCCTCGCGCAAAAAGTTTGGACTCGACCCATTGACACCCGAAGAATACATGGAAACAGAAGCACAAATCAAACAAATGGCCATGCAACAATCGGCGTCGGCAGCGGCCGAAGTGGCAAAGCAAAACAACGGACGACAACAAGGCTTCCTCGAACGACTCTTTGGAGATATCGTTCCCGAACAATGCGAATCCAACTTTGATTGTCAACGACCCGAAATCTGCTGTGACTTTGGATTCAAAAAGATTTGTTGTGCATCGGGCGCCTTTGTGGGAAACAGTCTACAAAGAGAACTCCAGCCGGCAATGGTCCCGGTTCCGGCTGACATTTATCCGCCGGGACAAGGACCAGAGCTAGGTGGCGGACGGTACAATGGATACTAACTAGCTTGCTTGCTAGAGAGACGATGAAGACACTAGGAAAGAGAGACAAGACAAAAGATGAGACTGCGCACGAGCAGAGGACGACACGAGACAACAGGAAGCCAAACTAGCAAACGGCATCTGCATTACGCACACTACATGAAAGGCAAGCCGCCGGAATCATACACAACACACCTGAACATACTGCAATGACTACCGACTACTACAAAATAGCATTAAATAAAGAATAGCAAGTGCAAGCAATAGAAACGTCGATTGATTTCAGCAACCTCGGATACGCAAGAATGCTCCGTGCTTCAGAAGGTGAGATGCCACTGCGACGCTTGAGAATGCTCTGCTTGTGTTGTCGACGTCAAGCTTTGTGCTACCAGCTAGCTAGTGCTCTCAGGCTTCCTACAAGTGTGATAAACAGACGAGTCTACCAGATTGGATGCTACCTCAAGTGATGCATCCACTACTAGCTAGCTAGCTTGATCCCAGATCACAATCGTTGGTGACTCCGCATCTTCGCATTTCATCGACCGGGATTGCCAGCTAGCTCGAACTGCAATCTTAGCTCCTGTACCCACATGCATCCTGGGTTCAGTATGCCGTGTTCTACTTCACAAGGGGCATTCCTCTGGAAATTCAAGAACTTCCCCATTTTTGAAGAACAGACAATCGCCATCCTGTCGGTGCCTTGGAGGGAGGGGCTTTGATAGCAATAACATATCTTAGCTTGGATCTTATATATTATCGTTTTTCGTCTACTTCGTACAAATGCTTTGCTTGACTGACATCATACTCAGTCCGTTCATAATCCCGTCTCAGTCCTTGTCAACTATTTTCCGGTGGGAAGCTACCCATGAACGTAGTCCATTTGTTTACTCATCTTCAGCGGGCATTTCGGTCATGACCTTGAATGACTTGGCGGCATCATCTCGTCCAGACATGTAGAGCTTACGGCGAACGGCAACACGGGCCTCGTATTCCTTCATTGCTTCGGGGTTTCTTCGTCGCTCCAAGACCTGACGCTGCAGTTCTTCCATTTCTTCCATTTTTCGTTCTTCCTTCTCCCGTTTCTTTTGCTTTTCCTCGTCACTCATGAACATGTCGAAGAAAAAGAGACTTGTGGAGCTGCTGCTTGCGGCCACAACACCATTCTGGACTGGAGATACAAATGCATTTGATCGGCTAATGACGGCCAACAGCAATGCTGTGATGTACAAGAAAACACGCATAGTCTAGCTAGTAGATTGATGGGATAGCAGTGAAAAGGTTCCTCTGAATAAGTTTATTCGTAATTGTGGTGCTTCCATTTCTCGTTCCATAGCTGCGGGTGTCGCCACAACAGCAGGTTGACTCACTCATTCTGGTCAACGTAAGTTCCTCGTGAGCAACAAGTTGATCGTTTGCTTCTGTTGGACGTCGCAATGACATCAACCTTTTTCCCTGCTTCGCCACGTCACACCGAATCCTGAGTAACATTCCACGCCGCGATCCTTGTGAAATGTGTGTCCACGCCCATTTGACACGGTTTGCCATGGTTATAGGCAGACCGCTCCGTACCATTGCCATCGTTTTGGTAACCAGCTTTGATATGCTGTCCACTTCTTCCCTATATACCGTACATACAGTGCGGCCTGTGCTAACCAATGGTACAATGACAATTCCACTGACAAGAAGATGCCCTACCGCAAAAATGTGTACTCAGCAGTTCCAAAGTAAGGTACTAATACTCCAGTTTTCCAGTGGGCCCAATTGGATTGTCTCAAATACATGTATGCCCATGAAAACGGTTGTCCATGGTCTCAAAACACTAGTAGTGGTGCTGCTCAATGCTGGTATTTGGAAATGCTACGATGGGCCAGATTCAACAGATGTCCATGGGGTGCAAACACATTGTGCGGGGGGCTGCTGCAGGTTGGCAGTTGGAACTCTTGCAGTGGGCCAGAGAAAATGGCTGTCATTGGGATGAAGAACACGGCTCACTGCACAATGGCAGGTCTTGATTAAAGTGGCTCAAGAGAATGGATGCCCTTCAGAAGCAGCGCGGAGTTGTGGGGTAGATTTTGGAAATATTGGCGGATGGCGTTACATGCATGACTGGTGTGGTATAACTTGTGATGCTAATCAGATATCATTTAAGAAATGGAATTCAAGCTAGCAAACAAGCCACTTGAGAAACTGGTCATATTGCAAAGAATTTCAAAGCTCCCCTTGTACATCACCCAAGCGATGGCCATTCATTCGACGGCGCTTTTCTATAGTTCTGGTTGTCCTCTTGTCGTAATGTTTGAGACGGCTTTTGTTGCTGGGGCTCAAGCGTGCAGTAATCAAAGAAGAGGAAGATTGTCGCATTGATAGTACTGGCATCAAGGTTCTCTCTGGATTGGCTGGCATGCATTTGTATTATTTCCTTGCTCAACTAGAAGAAGCGGGAAACAATGCCCACAAAGACGGCCAAGAATGCGGCCGCCAAAGATCGGAACACCTTTTTGACCGCCTGTTTATGTTCTCCAATCAGAGTGGTTGGAAAATTTCGGGTGTCCTTATCGACTTGCTTGAGCTGTTCCACAATCGAGGGACCGGTCCCTTCGACATTCATGGCCGTCAGAGTTGTATCTTTGGCTTCTGGTTGAAGTATGGATTCGATGCACAGTTCTGCAATCTGATCATACGAGACGGCACTGACCTTTAAATCACCTCCATTGTCCGCCAGCTTCAAATGCACAGGGCTTTCGTTTGGATCAAAGTCTGGCTTCATGATTCCTAGGGGAATAAAAGTGTTGGAGCGAAGCATGAGAAATCCAATTTCGTAATTTATGTTGCTCGAGGGGACGCAGCGAACCAAAGGCATTGCTTGTTTACATACCTGGTCTGATAATTGTGTAATCCAAATGCTTGCTGTTTTCCTTTGGCTGATCTCGCAACACTTGCTCCCCTTCATAATTCCATCCTTTGGCCATACTACCCAGTCCATTAATGAGGATGGAAAAGAAACTCGAGGGATCTTCTCCCTTTCCCGTGATGCGCACAATCTGACTGCAGTCCGTTTCTTGAGCACACTGGACAAACGTCTTCATGCTGTTGTAGTTGACTTGCTTGGCATGACTCTTGTCGGAATCTTCCGACCCCTCGGCCGCCGTGAGGGTTTCGTACCACTTGGATCGCCGCGTCGCCCCGTGGAGGGCCAAACAGTGTGAGCAATCTTGCAATAACTCCTTGACTTTGGCCGTGTCGGTCACATCACCATTGGTGACAAATTCCAATAAGTCAGGATGCTGGGTTTGTTTCTCCAACAGAAAATCCGGAGGCGTGGATTGACGGATCAGGCACTTGACGGGGATCTTGCGCTCCAGCAATTGATCCACAGCACGTCTTCCAAGTTGTCCAGTGCTCCCGACCACGGCTACTTTGCTGACTGGGGGCATGTTGCTAGATAGTGCTTTGGTTGTGGCAATCAGGAGAAAGAATAGCAGCGAAGGGACGACTATCATCATGGTCAACAAGCAATCGAAGACGATTGAAAGAAGAAGAATGAATCAGAAACAAAAGATTTTCTTGGAGTTCGCAGTTCTCACTGTCACGGGGGGGTTGCAAGAGTTCGCTGGTGTCACGTTGCCAAAATAATGCCACATAGCTGTCAGAACATAGTACCGGTACCGGTACCAGGTACCTGGTATTGACCGGTGTCATATCTCCTCTCTCCCACACGCTACGTCGATCAGCGTGGATAAATTGCTTTCTTTAAAAAAGGAGACAGGCACAAAAGATCATTGGTTGAGCGTTCATGTGTTACCTAGCTAGAAGAAGGAAAAAAGTGTACATTGCAGTACCTGAAGATTCGATTCGATTCCTGAAAGATATCAATGGCAGACACAAATTTTTCTTCCAAAGCGGTACCAGGTATCACTATCTGCTGGCCCTTCTCCCCACCCCAATTCCTGATGTAAAACACAGAAGACAAAACGCATGAGGAAAGCGTGGTGACCTGATCCTCTCCTCCAACAGCTACAGCAGTGCGATTGTGTCAGATCTCCCTTTAGTCTAGACTGGCATCCCCCCCACGACATGGACAACCGCCCCACGAGGAATCCAAAAAGAAGTCCGAGCCGAGCCGCAACTCTCAAGGCGGTTTCTTGGAACAAGAAGCAACCAGCAGCAGGGAAGAAAGAGACCGAAATGGACCAACTCCCACACGAAATGCCACCGAAAACTCCTGAACTCCCAAGACTCATCCTTATTTCTCGGCATTTGCTCCACGACGGAACAAACGCCAACCCAGATCTCCTTCCTTGGATGTACAACCCGTCGGTCATACGCATCCCCGTAGAACCCATCTTTTCCTAACAGCACACCAACTAACCAGGAACGAATGGAAACTGCCAGGTGTCATGGGCTTGAGAGCCTGTGTTGCAAAAGAGATTCCCTGAGACCACTTCCCACGAACAGAATACCGGAATGGTACCATCCGCAGTGCCGTTGCCATCAGAGAGCTTTCACGGTAGCGTAACTGGTTAGGGTTAAAAGGGCGTCCTCCGCGGATACACTCGATTACGCCCAAGGGCCATATCCAGTCATTCCAGTTGGACTCTCGAGAGCAGCCACGTTCCATTCTTTGTTCCTTGAATTGTGCCATTGGGATTTGGAGTTGTGCCTAGGAATTGCCCTCTCGTTGTTGTTTCATCATTGATCATTGACACAACCGCTGGCTGCTGAGCAGAAACGACTCCAACAACAATGGCACATACCTTCTCTGATAATTTCATTGCTGCTGCTCGTTTGCCATATCCGCGTGTTGTTGTGTTGTGCATCACCAAAATTCAGAAGCAGAAAGTGTGCTTTCACGACTCCTGTGGTCCATCCACATACACGTTGCTCGTCCAAAACTTGAGACTGCCCTGTACCCCCGCACGAAGGCTAGATAACAAATGATGTTTCACCGAGCCAGTTCGAGGCCCGTGGGTACCAGGGACTGGATGAAAATCCAACCAAGATCACTGTTGGCTCTTCTGCATTATTTGTTTGTGGTAGCGCATTTGAGATCGTTTCACCTCCAAGGCTCGTTCCTCGGCAAATGGGAGCTCGGACTTTTCCCAGCACTTCAGCAGGATTTCATAGCTATTTTGATTTGGCAATGAATTGTCGAGGTGCGTTCCGTGGAGCCTCGTCATGTGATCGAATATTGCCTCTGCCCTCTCCGCGGCCCTGGGTGCTGGTGATCGCGACCATGCAGTCAGCACCTCGTTGTAGTCCGTGGCATCAGGCCGGCTGCGTGTTTCAGGTTGTGATTGTTGTACCGCATTGTGGAGCTTTGCCATCATGTCCTCAGCTCGGGGTGCATCCCCAATTGAAGAGAACATAATCATCGCACTTGTATACAGCCTGATGCCATGGTCATCGTGCTCTGTCTTTTCGAGGTCCGCAATGGTATCTGAGATGAATTTTGCTGCATCGTGTTCCTCTGACTCCTGCAAACATCCAAGCACCACACGGCACATGTCTGGTGAAAGAAATGACTTCAGCAGCCCTTTACGACTCATGCGTTTCATGCGCTCAACAATTGACATTGCCCTCTCCGCCTTCTCCGTGCCACTAGTACTACGTGAGCGCTTAAAGGTAGCTATCCATCTGATGTAAACATTTCCCGATATAACGGCCTCGGGATTCCCATCAATAGCCTCCGCTTCGAACCAGTCTTGGAACTCTTCGAGCTTTGTCAGGTCATATTTCATAATGGCAAAAGCTGCATCCCAAAAGACGTATCTATCCGGCTGTCTGTGAGACCAACGTTCCTCTTTCGCATGCTCGGCCATCTCAAGAATTGTTTTGAGGACCTGTTTTCCTCCTACCCCTGGCCCTCTCGGGTGTTGTCGTCGTGGTGAGTTTTCCCAGCTTTGAATGGCGAGACGGTAGGATGCATAATTTGGCGTCAAATCGAACGATTCTGTCATTTTGGAAAGCAGCTGACTCGCCCACGGTCCTGCATTTGCTTCCTTGGAGTTCGCCAGCACAGAAAGCAACGCGTTACAGCAGTTGAGGTTGGGAGTAATCGACGCAGTCTCGGTCATGTAATCCAACAACGCCATTGCAGTTTCGGTGTGTCCTGTCGACGCCCAGATTCGTATAGCACTGGTGTAATCGTCCACTGTCGGATGTTCGCTGACGACGTTGCTTCCAATCGACGACAAGGCATCCAGCAACCGATCTGGTTGCTCCTGCTGCCAAAGGCTATCCGATGTGACAGTAGTCACAAACAGGGCAATCGATGGCATATGGACTTGAATCATTCCGCGTTCATACTGGTTACTGGCCCATTTCAGGAAGGAAATGACTTCATCCTCCTCCTCTTTGTTTGACAAAGCCAGCGTCAAAATGAGCATAAAGGTATCATTGTGTATCTTCATCATGTTGTGTCCCTCCACTAGTTGCCGTGCCTTGGCAATAGCTACGCTGAGAGTATCTCGTCTCGCAAGCAATTGAACAGTTACGTTTTCTTTGCATTCTTGGATAATAGAATGTATTTGTTCGTCCTGTTCAAAGTGCGTCAAAATCCAATGGCAATTTTCTGCAATCTTCATTTCACTCGCATGATTATCGTCCAGGAGCAACGCAATTGTTTCCTGGTTTGGCGGAATCCTGTCCCTGACGTTTGACAGCTTGTAAATGATGGTGCCGTTTGCCATGACTCTGTTTTTTTGTAAAAAAAAACAGTTTCTCAATAGTTGATTCATCAGCTCTGTGTTGATCTGGTCATCTTGGCTATCATCCATGTCCAGGAAGGGAACCAGGTGAAAGAATGCGTAAACGCTGTATCTGTTTCCCCAAGCAGCCAGGTTCTGGACTGTGTCCCTAGCATTGGCCTGCCAAACAGGGTCGTGCTGCCGCTCCTCTTGCTCCGCAATGAGAGTCTCGGCTCTCTCCAGTAACGTCTCTTGGCATTCTTTGCCTCTTCTGCTGCTGAATAATCGGTATTGCAAATGGTTTCTTGGTAGACGACGTAGCGTGGTTCTCGCAGCCATAGCAGGACAAGAGGACAACCGCTCAACGGACTTTGGTCGATGCAAGAATGCATCCTGCCCTCTAGTGGCAAGGGGTATACCGGTATGTAGCAGCACCCCACGACCGCATCTCAAATGATTACTGATACTACCGGTGCATGTAATAGCATCTCGACGAGGGTTTCTGGCCAGGCTTCGCCTACATCCATGCCCAACCAGCCGTTGCCACGGGACGGTTGGCATCATTGTAGATACTAGTAATCTACCTACTACTAGCTAGCTAGTAGTAAACCCCCCTTAGCAGGTTTGTGCGTGATGGCTACTGTGTCACCCACCACTGGATTTTATGCTTTCGAGCTTTCGAGCTTTCCCCTGAAAATCCGAGTCCAAGATCCAGATTATGTATTTTGGGACTGAAAATACTCGTGATTGATGTACAAAGAGCCCGACTGACGTATTCGTGACTAAATTGGGGCCATCCTTCCGTCCCACAGGCTTCAACAACTAACTTGACACTCACTTTTCCTCGAACCACTCGTCAAGATTTTCCCTTTTGGATCCAAGCAAGGCATATTTGTTTAGTTGTTTGTTGTTAGTTGATGGTGGAATGATCACAGCAGCAGGCACCATGAGACTGACTTCGTTTCTGATACACAATGCAGCGCTTGCCACAGGTTTTGTTCTGAAGCAATCTACTAAAACCCATCCCAGTTTTCAGCAATATTATTTCAGACCCTACAGTCACTCGAGTTCTGTATTACAAGGCTGGGTCCAAGACAACGATGGCGAATGGCAATGGGAAGAAGACGATCCCAACTACACACCATCAACGACAGCTACGACGACTGCTTCGCCCGTGGCCGCCGTGGCGACCCCTCAACTCCCTGCCGGATCATTTCGCCCCAAGAAATCGCTGGGACAAAACTACCTCAAGGATCCCAATACGGTCGTGAAAATCATCAAGGCATTTCATCAAGATGCCACGCATCAGGGACAACGAAGCACGGTCAAACGCGTCGTCGAATTGGGACCGGGCGCGGGAGCCTTGACGGATCGATTGGTGGAAATTTACGGAACTGACGTTGTCCAATGCATTGAAATTGACGAACGCTCCATTGACATTCTACACAAGAAACATCCCGACTTGCAAGTCACACATGCCGATATTCTGCAGGTCAATTATCCGCAATTGGCAGATCTAGAAGGACAGGCACTCGTCGTCATTGGAAATTTGCCCTATTATATTACCAGTCAAATCCTGTTTGCCCTTGCCGATGCATCCCATTCGGGGGCGGTCGATACGGCCACCGTCACCATGCAATGGGAAGTTGGACAGCGCATGGTGGCACCGACAAGTACCAAAGTGAGTACAGAGTACGAGTATAGGTGTATATATGATGTCAAGAATCTTTTTTGAATGCTGATCTTCTGACTGAATTTTTGTTCTGTTCCTTATTGTCCTTTTTTCCAGGACTATGGAATTTTGAGTGTCGTATTCCAGCTCTACGCCGATGTCAAGTGCCATTTCAAAATTCCACCCACGGTCTTTTATCCACAACCCAAGGTAGATTCCGCATTGATTGGAGTCCATTTCTTGGGACCCAATCAACTACGACAACGCTTGGCTGGAGTGCAACCGGCACACTTGAGACGAATTGTTACCACGGCATTTCAACAACGACGCAAAACGGTACGCAATAGTTTGAAAAAATTGGCACAAGAATTGGAAGTGACAGAAGTATTGAATGGACCGCCCCGGCCGCTCCCGATGATGGTCCAAAAAGCCATGGACGAGGGAGATGAATTTGCATTGCAACAACCACTGCCCGATAATTGGGCTTCCAAGCGTCCCGAGGAACTAAAGCCGGGACAGTTTGTCGAACTGACAAGGCTCTTTTTTGGACCCACCGATGAAGCGGTCATTGCCGAAAATGCACCGCTCGGACAAAAAGTGTGGCGGAAAATGAAACATGGAAAATTGTAGAAACGAAACGAAACGAAAGTTGGAACTTGCTGTGCTGTGGATAGTGCATACCGTACAGTAGCCAACGTACAACAAGGAAAACACGACAATTCATCTATCTTGAACGGTGGTGCCGGAAGCGTCTGGAGCCTCTAGCTAGCTAGCTAGAAGAAACCAACAAAATGGGGTAGCCGAAGAAAGAGGCTGGGTCAGCTCAAAATTTACATTCTGCGACCCTACACAAAGCCTAGCGGCGCACTACTAGTCCCTGTGGACGATCCTGGCAACTGACGGCTAATGAAAATAAACGTATCTAAAAATTTCTCATGTATCATTTATTTGAAACTGTTCTCCAGCAAATTATAGGCCGGATCAGCACGAGACAATGCATCACGCCACCCAGCCAGCCATTAGAAAGAGAACGCTGCATGGTCCGGAATATGCAAGTTGCTAGGAATGGGCCATGGTGAAGAATTGGTTTTTGTGAAGGTGAAAATGACGGGGTGGAAAAATTTAAGAACATCATGTATCCGGCATAGCTCAATTGCCAAGGATACGCAATTTCGAACCTGTGAAGTGCGAAATCTGTGGTATTCTTTTTACACCATGCATGGAGTAGTGGATTGGCTTGCCACCTACTGAGCCACTGTACAAAATGGCGTATCTCGGACGTTTTATGCTGATCACCAGCTTCCACGTGGAATATTTTCATAGGCTCAGGCGCCAAAGCCAGATCCAGACCGTCGCATCATGGCACATGGCTGCGGCAACAAACATCTTGGCAGCGGCATGCAGCAACACAACAACACTCGCCAGGGGCAGGCAGCAATACAATAATAAGAGATACCACTACGAGCCATATCGATACCACTACAAGCCATATCGATACCACTACCAGCCATATCATTCTATAGCCATATAGCCACGCAAAGTCAAGACGAAAACCACAAAGTCAAGACGATGCCATTTAAAAAAAGAAGAAGAAGCCCGAGGGTCTCTCTGCAAGGATCACATTTGTCATGTTGTGTACAAGAAATCTCCATGGTACATACGACAATGGAGAAATCTATTGCTCCTCTCCTTGTTTCAGTGTATGGGAAGTCTGTGAAGGAACAAAATACTTGACATGAGAAGCTTCGAACCATGGATTGGTTTAGTTCCCACAAGAGCTTATGCATTATGAGCCAATTAGAAATGAGGGAGATGCAAAGATTGAGTGGAAGCTGATAGGAACCTGGCTGAATGTACTCAATGAAATCCAGAGCAACAACAGGACTGAGAACAACCAACCAACCAACCAACCAGATCCCCACAATATTGCACTGGTGGCAAAACTGGTTGTTGCCTACAAGACTGTCATTCCAATCCACTTTCAGAAAATCGAGTGTACGGCCAATGCACCAATTCAGATTCAAAGGCAATCAATTTTCAAACCCACAGAAGATTCCAGTGGCACATGTGTCAACCCACACCATAGCAACAAACTTAACCTTGAGAAATGCAGAGCTATACATAAAACTAGGAAGCTAAAGTTGACATGACTTCAAAAGCTAAGAACCTCCTCCTCTCCTCCTCCTCTCTTCCTCTCTTTCAACTTCCCCTCCCCCTGCGGGGGAGGGTTTCTTCCAACTTCACTGAATAGAAATTTTCCCAAGGGAGAATGTCGAACAGTGGAAGTGGAAGGAGGCTGGAAGGAGAGGGGTAGAAGTTCACTACATGTAAGAGGATGGGGAACCGTTCACTCGCCGGTACCACCAGCTTCACTGGCTCAGCCAGCATAAACACTTTTTCTGTTTCGACTCGACTCTGACTCGACTCGACTCGACTCACAAACAAACAAGGGGGTTCCAGGTGTGATTACGAAGGTAATATCTCGTGTTACAGTTGTTGCTGGGATGCTGAAGAGCTTTGGGTCTGGGGCTTACGAACGATTAATTAGTAACTTAACCCTCGGGACAAATGGAATTACGAAGGTTGTGCTTCGTGTTACAAAGTACCGAGTCTGTGCATTGGCTTTAGAAAGTCTCTGTTATGAAAAATATCTCGTGGTTACCATACGGCACTTAATGTATCTGGGGGCTACTTCACGGGGTAGCGTGTCCTTAACAAGGCTAGGCATAATAAATAACAAGATCTCTGATCTTTGTAAAAGCAAGGGGGCGGCGGAGGGAGATTTCTACGGACGCACAAATTGTGAGGCTCGGTCTTAACAGAGCTTCGCCCTTCGCCATTTCGCACCTTCGCGGCACTCAGTGATGACGTGTAACCGGCGAAGCAGTTTTTGGTTGTGGAAGCAATCTTCTCACCTTCTTTTCTTCGCCCCTCTTCGAACCGTTGGTTGTTAATTACCATAATTTGAATTCCTTGTGAGTACCTTGTGAGTACCGATTGAGTTCAGTATTTAACGGATGGTCCACTCATACTAGGCGAAGCTTCACCTTCGCGGATCAAAATGACCGAGTCATTATTTGCCAGGAAGATGAATATTCGCCGTTCAGTCATGCTTCATGTCCTACGTGACGCAATGGCGAAGCGGCGAAGGTGCGAAATACTCTGTTAAGACCGAGCCTGAGCCCTCTCGCAGAGCTTGAGAGGCACGACACCAAAAAACAAGAGCAGCAATGAGGAGAAAGAAAATTAATTCACTTGGACCATGACGACCGACACTCCTGAAACACCAAGACGCGGCGGGATCACGAAGGAGGAACCTTTAGCTTCCAGCACAGCGGATGGTGCAGACTTGGGGCTGAAGCAAAGCGTTTCGGAAGAGAGCGTGGAGCCGCGCATTTGGGGTAAGGTAGGCGCTGTGGAGGATAGCATACTACCCAAGGCGATCAAAGACAAGGCGTACCAGTCATCAGAGGAATTTTTCAAGGATCTCAAAAAGCACGGATTGCAGGATTGCAAGTACGGTACATCGCGTTGGACATTGACGGAAAGCCTACTGGAAGACGATTGCCAGTCAATTTCACAAGGCGGCAGTCAACGCAATCGAAAAGGCTGCCGACAAAGCCAAAGTTGTGGTATATACCGATAAGGAACCAACCCTCCAAGTTGCTGGTTCTCATGGTGGATTAGTTGTCGAGAAAGAACCTGATTTGGCCATCTGGGGAAAAGGAAGAGTTGCAGACGACGAACCTGCTGTGATGAGCATCTCAAACGAACCCAAACGACTACGGGCAACCATGAATCCCAATGTGATCATTGAGTTCAGCTGGACGAACAAGTTGCTAAAAGAAATTAGCCAGTTCAATGACCAGATGAACAAGCATATGCATGCGGAATCCCTTGGAAAAGTTGAGGTCAGCTTCCTGACCAAAACAATCCCTCTCCACAACAATTCCTATCCTGAAAACCTGGACAGCGAAGAGGAAATCAAAGAAAAACCTATTTGTGGCTTTGGCGTTTTCAAAGCCCAGGCCGGGGAGACTGTGGGGGTGGATTCAGACCGTCATTTAACCTACCGAGTCGGAAACGAAGACAGCAGCGTGATAGAGATCACGGGCAAGGACTTGGGAGAGGGCAGTCGCTCGGAGGATGTCCTAGTCAGCATCCCCCTGTCCGCCATACGAGAAGCGCTTGAGAAGCGAGGCGTGTTTTTTCAACCCGAGGATGACCAGCAGGGTTACTCGGCATTTTGTTTGTTTGGGGAAGTGTTTTGGCGATTAAGTGATCCTTATGTAAATGTCTACACACCTTTAGTAGACATAAGTAGACAAAGTACACATTGTGCGACTTTAGTAGACATTAGTAGACAAAGTGATACATTGGTAGACATTGGTAGACAAAGTGAGACATTGTGAGACATTGGTAGACAAAGTGAGACATTTTTGTACTGTTTTACTGTACTGTGTAGACATTGGTAGACATTAGTAGACATTGTAAGACATTGTGAGACATTGTGAGACATTGGTAGACATTGTGAGACATCCGTAGACATTGTGAGACATCCGTAGACATTGTGAGACATCCGTAGACATTGTGAGACATAAGCCACTTTTACAAAGGAGCATAGAACATTTATGCAACTCTGTAATCAGATACAATAGCCTTAAATAGACAAAAGAGTAACCCAGGGTAGTGCATTGGTTTGATCAAAATAAGCCAGCGGAGCTGTGTAACCTCGGCAGAAAGGTTTCAGTGTAGAAGCAGATACCCATATTAGCTAGCTAGCTAGAAGCAGATACATGTAGTGCCTAGCTAGTGCTTAACTTGCGCTTAAATAGCTAGAAGCAGATCCCCTAGCTAGAAGCAGATTCCCATAGCAAGCTAGAAGCAGATACCCCAAGCTAGCTAGAATACTAGTTATATAGCTTTTGCTAGCTTTAGAGTTTTTTCCTGGTAGAAGCAGATCCCCTTACTAGGATGCATGTAAATAGCTTTAGCTGGTTTAAAAGCACCATCCTAGGATACTTATTTAGTTTTTGCTGACATATTTGTATTCTAACCCTACCCTTATACCTGCAGGCACCACCGTAGCAGGAAAAACAATTCGGCTTTTTTTCAGCGTTCGTCTCCTGTTTCCTCAGTTTGCTCGCAATCCAGACATTGTAGCCGGCTACAATACCGTAGGCAGAGAGTTACATCGATTCGTGACAGTGGCAACAGTACCGAACACACTCAGGTTCCGCTTTACTGGCTACACTCCGTTACCGGTACCTTGCATTGGATCCTTATGGCGGATACATGCACAACTGAACATTGTCAATCCAGCCGTTGTAGCCAGTTGCCGTAGAGTTACATCGATCCGTGACAGTGGCAACAGTACCAAACACACTCAGGTTCCGCTTTACTGGTTACACTCCGTTACCGGTACTTTGCATTGGATCCTTATGACGAATACATGCACAACCGAACATTGTCAATCCAGCCATCGTAGCCAGCTATCGTAGAGTTCATCGATCAGTGACAGTGGCAACAGTACCGAACACACTCAGGTTCGACTTTGCTCGCAGCACTCGATTACCTCGCATTGGATCCTTATGACGAATACACGCACAACCGAATATTGTCAATCCAGCCATTGTAGCCAGCTGCCGTATAGCTAGTGGCAACAGTACTTGACTTGCGCATACAGGAAAATGGGCACCGACACAGGAATCACCCCCAAAACAGTAGGAAATAACAAGAAGGGATGAATCCGGTAGGAGGATCCACTCTCTTGTGTATCTTTGGCTCGCTCATGTTCCCTTTTCAATGACTCGACGATCTCCTCTGTTCATGCTGTTGGTAGGGCTGCAGTTAACAGAGCCTCCTCCTCCGTAGCGGTAGCCTCTCATCTTTTCGATCGAAAAGGACTCGACAATGGTAGTTCGCCGGCCGTCGGCAGTGCAGCAGAGAAAACAACAAATAGATATGAGTTTTGTTTTCTGTGCTGAACTGAAGAAAACCGGTGACTTACCCTTGCTTTTCAAATTGCACCAACTTGGCCATCATGGGCTGAGAACTGACTGCCATCCCATGGTCCATAGGATTGAATGAGGGATGGCTTTCGCTTCTACACCGGAGACGACCGGCTTGAGTGAGGCTTGGATAACAGAGATCGATCGATTCGAATAATTAAAACAACTCACCTGTTGACGGTCAAGCTCGGATTTCTCTCCTCTCTTGTGTGTTGTTGCCTCTTCCGGTGGCTGTTGCCTTTCAATGACTCGACAATGATAGGCTCCTCTGTTCAGGCTGTTGGTAGGGCTGGAGTTAACAGAGCCTCCTCTTCCGTAACAGCAGCCTCTTCCTCTTCTTATCCGGAGCGATCGACCGTCGACAATGGTAGTTCGCCGGCCGTCGGCAGTAAGAGAACAGAAAGTAAGAAATAGATATGGTTTTCTGCACTACGCTAAAAGCTAGTGTAAAGATCTTTCGAGTGTTTTGAGTTTGAGAGAATGAAAGTTATGAGAGAGATTAGAAAGCTATGAAAACTAATCAACGAGAGAGATCATCATCAAGGGATCGTAGATCTGGTCTCCCGCGGGAGACTATAAAGTGTGATAGAGTAGGTTGCGGTAGTAATCCTACGTATCTCCACGATCCTAAAACGGAACGCGTGGAAGATTTGTCTAGCATGGATCTAGTAGCGTGGAAGTACTCCACGCTGGCTAAATATCTAGAGCGATGTTTCATCATCAACCTAGTATGACTAGAGCGGTCATTGAGAACCCTGTCTCAAATGACTATTCACGAGAGACTCAGTCATGAGTCGAACTCAAACCCTATCTAGGATCGAGTCGCGAATAAGGCTAAGAGCCGTGTATTGCATTCGCCCCCTGACAAGGGTCACAGAAGGCGCGACAGCAGTCGGACAAGGAGAACATATGATTTAAAGTGCGGGGCACTCTCATGAGATTTGGATGTAGACATGTGCGTCGCACGATGGCAATCCTACAAGGGGATCAGGCCTTGTATGGGTGTATATACCTTATGTTCCAAGTCTGGTAGACTGTGCCGCCATTGGCGGTAGCATGTCGGAGCCGTACAGTGCCATTGTCATTGACTCGGTCTATTGTAAGGACCTTTGTACTTTGGCTGACCGTACTTGCGGTGCTGATACTGTTCAATCATCACGGTATCGTTGACATTGTATTGATGAGGGACACGCGTCGCGTTTTCCCTATCGTTGTTCTGTTGGATTAGTCGTTGGCGACGTTCCTTGATGTACTTCCAGTTGGCTTCGAACCGGACGTTGTGAATCGCGTCACGATTGAACACGAGCTGCGCGGGCGTTG